AAAGTGGAATGACCAGGCCTGGATTATAAGCCGACATCAGCCAGTCGAACATGCATCTGGGTGTGGTTTACCCAAGTTTCTACTTGTCTTTATTCGGTTCTCTCTTAGCAACTTTTAACAAAAGTCCGTACGCGACCGCCTTCGAGGCACAAGAGGACATATACCTTCCTTTAGGATATCGACGAGTCCCAGAATGGGTATGACAGATAGATCAAAGCGTTTAAAGCGGAAACAAAGAAAGTCAGTGGCTCAATAGCTAGAACGCTTGAATTCCAATCAAACGGCCAAGGGTTCAAGCCTTGCAGTGTTGCAACGCACGGAATTGTGTGCGACTCGTTGGTGATGCCTCACAAACCAGTCATGGCAAATTCAGTTTGCCTTGGAGACGATTTCCAAGTTGACCACTTTGACTTTCAATGGATTATTTCGTAATTCAGCATGAATGGGTCAACCGTTAAAGTTCATTTCTTAAAAGTACAACCGTAGGAGTTCTTTGGTAGTTCGTAGTCATGTGTAACGCCAAGTACCCACGCTGGTCGCATCCGCTTAAATCAAGCTTCGCCAGCGTAAGCAAGCGCGCACACGTTCACTCGTGGAGAGGCAGTATGGAGCAATGACTACTGCCTATTTAATAGCGAAGTTATAAGCGAACGGCATTCTGCTGTTAGCGACCAGGGACACGGCTGCTAGAGTCAAGGAAGGCTGTTGTGCGAAGCCACAACAGAACACAAGCTGCTGACGGACACAGAAGACAAGCTGCTGGACAGACAGTAAACATAGTTAATGTGCTAGTAGAACTAACGGTAAATTTAATATATGATATCCTGTTCTGCTTTCTCTTCCGTAACACGTAACCAGTGTTGATACAGGAATAAAAAGAGTTATCACAATAGCAGCGAAAGTCAATAAAACTGTCAGTGTAATTAGGTAGTGCGTTCAAAAGCCAGCACGTCTACTGAGGTGAAGTATCAAAGTAATACAGTTTGATTATGCCCACTCTCTCCTCCAGCAGGTATATGCTAAACACAGTGACTTGCGTGGCATCTAACACAGGCTTTATTTCATCACCCTCCCTTGCTCGCTGTCAAGATGAAGTCAAGTATACCAGAGACAGAATAGGGCACAGGCTGCCATAAATCGGGACGCCTTAATCTAGTGAGACAACCATGAATGCCCGAGTTTCTAAGTCTAGGTGCTGATAAAGCCATGTTGAACGGGTGGCACCCATCCCATCTCAAATATACGTGTATATGTCGCCCGATCACGTAATACAATTGGTCAGGGTTTTGATTTATCAAGAGGATACGGACAGCAGCCCGGATCTCATCTGTTACATTTGCGCTTTCTAGTCAGCCAGAAGACGGGTCGTTTTTTTGAATTTATCGTCGGCACAAACAAACGTATACGTCCCATCTGCTTACAAGATATTCAACGCATGGTCCCAATTCGTCTGATGCGGGACCATGTCCGTGGAGTATACGACTATTTGAATACCCAGAAACATCTCCACGACGAGACCCACGTGGTCAGTTCACCTGGGCGATCCTATCCGGTTGTTATTGCTTCGACACATTGGCGCATCGGCCTGGTGAACTGGGGCATATGTGTGCAGTGGGAATTCCGCCCTGCACAGAAAATCATCGTTTAACACAAAATACATCAAATGTCCTAACTTATGCAAAATACCAAAATAAACGAAAATAGGGAAAAGCGCTAATTAGCAAGTTGTAATTTCATTATCCTGCATGTTCCTATTGCCACAACAGCACTCACTTATTTCCCAATCATATGCAGACGTCAGCTAATTGCGCTTAGTATCTAAACATGTGTTTATCCCCTCAGACGCTGACGTTTAAAGGGAACTGTATTGTAAACAAGCCAAATATCTGTGTTAGATCAGGCATGACGGCAGGATCTATACACGCCCTCATTAAGTCGAAGCGTTTAGAATGGCATTTAAAAGCCCTGTATTATCAGACTGAATGCTGCTATATGCGTTACCATATACGTATTGGAAGTCTTCAAGATTCGACACTTAGGTAGGAAAATAACAGAATAGGGTGTTGTGGCACGCTTCGGTACTTAATAGCGCTGATTCGAACAACCTGTGCTTGATCAAGTATCTGATCTTTATAAGTATTTCTTGACAACGGGCATAGTGGGTTTCAGAGAAGACAGCGTGGGAGACTAATTCCCACGCAAGACTGCAGTAACTAGCTCCACACAAAGTGCATTTGTGAGCGGTTGTCTTGAGTAGCACAAGTCGAAGTGCAATTTCGAAA